AGAGATGGTTCAAGGCTTGTGGCTTCCCTCAGGCACCCACTTAGGAGGTGAAGGGATGGAGTGGGGTGGCTGGGCCCGACCCTCCAATTAAGCTACTGTCCAGGGCTATTCCCTTGGGAACATGTGGAAGCAAGAAGAGGAGACAGTGGGTGGGTCCTACTGGGGTGGGGAGTGGGGTGAGAGAAAATGAGCCCCATACTATACTTACAGGGAGCAAGAGAAAACCAACCCTACTCACTGTAGTCCTTGGGCCAGGGCTTTCCCCCTGCTGGGCCTCAGTTTCCCTATCTAAGAAAGTAGGTGGTTGCAGTGGGTGACACCCCAGAACCCATCTATGGAGGGGTTCTCTGTGCCTACATGTGTGGAGGGGTCCCAGCTGGGCTGCCCAGGGCTCCAGAAGGCATTGGCTTTTCTGTTGCCTGGCAGCTTCTGGGCCAACCAAAGTGGCAGGGCCCTCCCTACCCAGTGTCTCTCCACCTCCCACTGGAAAGGAGGCCTGCCCTGTGTGGGACACCATCACTCTTAGTGGGTCCCACACCATCTCCTTCTGAAGAACCCTGTGACTCACAGAACTACCCATGGGGGGAGGGAGCACTTGGAGGCCCCTTTCTGTCCTGGTAAGACATTTTCTTTGTCCCTATGGACAAGGAACCTTGGCCATTTCCTAATCCACACGAAGTCTGGGGCAGGTGCCAGGGCCTGGGCTAGCCTCATAGCCTCACTGCAAGCAGCCGGAGCTACAGAAACTGCATCACCTTGAGTCGGGCAGGGCCCTGGGTATGATTGGCTCTATTTCCTACAGTGACCACTGAGGTCCCAGGCCAAGCTCACACAGGAAGGAGAAGTGGCCCAGGTCCCCCCCGCTGAGGGACTCCTGAAGGGTGGCAGGTCTCCTCCCTTAGCCCCCCACAGACATCCATCTCCACCCACCTTCACTGACCCTCCTTGCCCTGATGAGTGAACCATGCACCTCTCTCCAACAGACCCTGGGGGCCAACAGCTGCAGGGCTCCCGCTCAGCCCTCACAGCCTGACTGGAGCCAAGTGTCAGCATCTTCTTGGGATAAGTCAGGACACTGAGGCCCAGGACGGATAGTGGCCTGTCCTGGAGTGGCAGAGCAGAGAGCAGCTTAGAGCAGAGGTGAAATTTGGGATTGTTCTCCCCAGGGCTACAGCTTGTACTCCTGCAAAGATGAGGAGAAGGAGCCAGAGAAGGCCAGGGCCCTCCTCAATCACGCTGGGGACTTTAAGACTCGGAGATGAGACACCTCCCTCCAGAGTTGTCCCCAACCTCCATGGCATCCTGTAGCCTCTCACCCAGCTGCGCCCAGGACCGGTTTTTCTGAGGTTCCAACGCTGGGAAAAGGAGCGCAGCCTTTCTTCTCTCACCCCTGTCTGCGGATACAACCCATCCACGCTCCCCTGGGGTCGCCAAGGAGGCGGTGTCAACTGCCACTTGGCAATATAAGCCGACGGCGGAGGACCGAGTTTCCCTGAGGGCAGCTCAGCGGCGGAAAAATGAGGCCGTGCCTGGTAAACTGAGGCGGGAGCGCGCAGGTACAGCCTCAGCTGTAGGAGTCCTCCGCCCGCCTACGCGGCACCCCCGCCGGGTGGGCGCCCTGCGCCCTGCGCCCTCGGCCTGGAGGCTGCGCTCCGCCACGCCTTTCCCAGCCAAGCCTCAGAGCTTTTGCCGCTTCCTCCCGCCCTCTCCCCGGCTTCTCAACCCTTGTCCAGGCCGCTCCTCTCCTAGCTGTCCCCTCTCTCTCTTTACTGCCCACTCTTTCTGCCCTGCCTGCCTCTGTGCCCGCCGGCACGTCACTGCCGCGTTGGCTCCCGCGCCCGCGTCGGTCTCTCTCTGCGCACGGCTCGACAGCCCTGGCACCCTCACATCTCCGTCTCGCGTCTTGGGTGGCCCTCGCTGCCTCACTTTGGCCCCTCTCTCACCTCTCTCGATCCCTCTGCTCCCTTCTCTTGGGGTCTCCTCTCCGAGCTCTCCTGCTCTCTCCTTCCAGGGCGTGCGCTCCGCTGGGTCTCCCTCCGTCTGGGTCCGCCCGCCCTTCTCGAGGTCCCCCTCTCTCCCGCCTTCCTCCCTTCTCCAGCCCTCCCTC